TTATTTTTTTGGATTTTTGGGTTGGATGAGTTTTTGGTGGTAATAGGTGTCTTCCTCTACTCGTATTTGGCTGTCAATTTTTTTCTACACTTTTGGGTGTATTTTGTACCAGAAATTGGAATAAAGTAGTCAGCTTGTTCTTGTCCAATTTTTTGTTTACTGATTACACGAACGGTAAGTGATTTAAAAACCAGTTGGTAATTGACTGTATTATTTTCGTGATCTACTTTATCGACTAAATGGTAAGTTACTATATGTAGATAATTATTGTGATAATCCAATTTTTTCAAATTTCGAATACATTTTTTTTAATTTTTCAGCTAAAAAAAATGTTTACTTTTCATTATTTCGGGAAACCCCTTCCTTATAAAATGTCATTTAATTATTTTAAATACCTAGTTTTGCAATATTATTTAAATTACGTACTACTGTAAGTAACAGTATGTAAACTATGGGACTTTGTACAAAAAGGGAATTATTACATAATTGAAAAACCAAATTTAAAAAAAAAAGAAAAAAATGAGTTACAAACTAGTTGAAACTAGTCCGAACAAGTTTTGATGCTAGTTTAAAATGAATGAATGCGTAAAAATACGTATCAATACGTAACTCCGCGTAAAATATGTAATTTTGCATAACATACGAAAGAATTAGGATTTTTTTAAAATCATAAAACAGAATATTAAATACTATAATGAAATATTTATTTATTACAAGTCAATTTTAATTTAGATTCTAAAAAAATATTTAAGAACGACGTTTTGTTCGCATAAATGACGACAATAATCGCATTTTGATTTCTTTTTTTTTCCTTTTTTTTTTGCATATAAAGAAGAAACGCAATCATCTTCGAACAAAATCGATTTACATTTTATATCTATCGATTTGTTTAGTGCACGAAATTCATCACAATCGCACGACGCTAGGCACTTAAAAAAAGGCATCTAAAGTTTCTTATTGTCAATATTTTAAATATTTATTTATTTATATATTTATATATAATATGTAAATTGATCTAAAGCTCCTCGTTTTAAAGTATCGCCGAGAAAAATACTTTCATTATTTATTATTACAATAATAATAATTATTATTATTCTGTTATATATATATATATACTTTTTTTACTAAAAAAAAAAAAAAATACAAAAAAAGTGAATAAATATTTTTAAGTTCTTCGCAAAAAAAGGCTTTTGAATTCAGGAAAAAAAATAATTTTTTTTTTCCTTCGTGAATTCGAATACATAATTATGAATAATTTTTAAATTGCTAATACATTCTATTTTATTGGTGGAAATAAATCAGTTTTTTTAAGGAGGAAAAAAAATTATATGATAATTAAAAAATTAAAAAAAGAAATAAAAATATATTCTGCTTTTCACATTCGTCGATAAATAAAAATTTTTCTGACTTTTTGTTTCTTATAATTGCATTTATAAGGGGCTTTTTTTTTTTTTTTGAAACTGATTTTTTTCCACTATCGACGATGACAACGACGAAAACAATTAAGTCTCGAAGTTTATGACTCTCATCATTTCTTCGATTAATTCGTCCCTTTTATTTATTTATTTATTTTTTTTTTTTGATTCTCCTTTTTTAAATATAATAATTATTGTATGACGTTGAAATAAAATTTTGCAAAAAAAAAATAAAATTATAAAAAAATATATTTACCTATATAAATAATTAGATTATTCCTGGGGGCAAAAACAAAGAGAGGGCATCTCAAAAAATGATATGTTTCATTGAGCCAATTAGAATTAAGCTAAGATTTTTATTTTGTTACTCTTTTTTTTTTTTTTTTTACTTTTGTTACCCTCCTTTTTATTTCGCAAAATGTCTCTTTTTTTCTCGAAACTTTCTCAAAATTAATTTACCAATGAAATCAAAAGAAAATTCCTTAAATTAAAAATATTTTTTGTCTTAAGAAATTTTTTTTTTTATTTTTAATATATTTAAAAATATTTAACGATAAATTAATATTGAAAAAGATGTGAATAATTTCGAAATAATATTTATATGTGTAAGAGAATCTCTCAATTTCTCGATTTTTTTTCCTTTTAATAGAGACTGTATATGAATCGTGTAGAAAAAAAAAAAAATTATAAGTACAAATAAATGAGATTAATGGCATGTGTACCTCCCCTTAGACCCACCAAAAATAAACGGACAAATATGCAATCATTTCCACTGTCATACATTGAACGATTGTTTAAAAATTCTTTTTTTTTGAACAAAATTTATGTAAAAAAAAAAATTAAAAACAAAAAATTATTAAATAAAAATAATTTTTTTTAATAAATTTTTTTAAAAAATAATTTTTTATATCAAAATCAATTAAAATTAAAAAAATACTGTTTTGTACAATCAATGGCAAATATATTGATATTATAGTATCGATAAAGATTTATCGATTTAAAAATTATCGATATTATAAGATCGATTTAAAATTATCGACATATCGATTTGATAATATCGAAATTATGGTATTGATTTTTAAAAATCGATTTAGAATTATTGATAGATCGATATGTAAATATCGATATTTTTAATATCGATGTAGAATTATCGATATATCGATTTTTTAGTATCGATTTAGAATTATCGATATGAATAAATCAATTTAGAATTATCAATATAACGATTTATCAATATAACGATTTATCGATATATCGATATTTTTAGGATCGATTTAAAATTATCTATATATCGATTCATAAATATCGATAATTCTAAATCGATTATTTATTATCGACATATTGATATTAAATAATCAATTTAAAATTATCGATATAACGATTTAGATTTATCGATTTATAAATATTGATATTTTTCGTATCGAGTTAGGATTATCGATATATCGATATTAAAGAATTGATTTAGACTTATCAATATATCGATTCATAAATATCGATATTTTTAGGATCTATTTAGAATTATCGATATTAATGAATCGATTTAGAATTATCAATATAACGATTTATCGATTTATAAATATCGATATTTTTAGGATCGATTTAAAATTATCGATATATCGATTCATTAATATCGATAATTCAAAATCGATTTTTTATTATCGACATATCGATATTAAATAATCAATTTAAAATTATCCATATAACGATTTAGATTTATCGATTTATAAATATCGATATTTTTCTGATCGAGTTAGGACTATCGATATATCGATATTAAAGAATTGATTTAGAATTATTGATAGATCGATTTTTAAATATCGATATTAAAGAATCGATCGTAAATTATCGATATATTTCGATGGGGAAGCATCGATTTTTTAGAATCGATTTATAAATATCGATACGAAAATTTCGATAAATCATATGGCGCGAAAATTTTTGTGTTATAAAATGTCGTTCATTCGATTTTTCAATAACCGTTTATTGGTGGGTCTTAATATTCATCTCTTTCACTCATTCATGCATTCTCTCTCTTTTTTTTCTCTCTCTCTCTCTCTTCTTCTATTTCTATCTTTTTCGCTCAATTTCATTATTTCTATCGTTTTCTCTCTTTTTTTTTTTAAATTCACTTACTCCTTTTCGTTTTTTTCGTTCTCTCTCTCTCTCTCTTTCTCATTTTCTGATGCTCATTTAATTTTTTTCTCATTCATGAGTGTCGATCTCGTTGTCGATGCGACTGCTGCGAATTCCTGTTTTACCCGTCCATGGATAAATATCCGGACACGCTTGACATGTCTTCATATATCGAACTCCACTCTTGTGCCAAAGGTTGCAGACCTTAGGGTTGTTGCACTTCTTTGGCCTGTCCTGTAAATTCCAATGAAAACGAGCGCAATGTTAAAATTTAAATTCATAAAAAAAAAAAAAATGATGATGATGATGAGAGAAAAAAAGATGAGTATATAAGGAAGAATATCGCGTAATCAATAGCATTATTAAAATATTCAATTTTACGATTCTATTGACAATTTCTCGTCTTTTTTTTTTTTTTCTCTTTTTTTGGTATTTTAGTTATGGGAATTAATGTTTGAAAATAAAAAAAAAAAAACAAACAAAATTCTTACCGGATAGTTACAGCCAAATGGCTCGAAATTGTCGAGAAGACCAAGGGGTGTTGGATTTCTCACCCATTGCAATGCTTGCCAATTGGTTATTACCCATACGTCGTCCATTGCAACAATTGTATCCAGGAAGGAGATAAAACCTTCTTTATGATGTGCTTGCGTAAACCATGCAGCATGATAGAAAAGACCAAATGGAGCTCTGAAAATTATAAAAACTTTTTTTTTATTTCGTATACGTAAGGTTACGTAAATCTACGTAAGATTACGTAAACTTACGTAAAAATACGTAAGATTACGTAAACTTACGTAAAAATACGTAAATTTACATAAGAATACGTAAGCTTACGTAAACTTACGTAAGTTTACGTAAATATGCGTATTGTTGCGTAAGGTTGCGTAATTTTACGTTAAGATACGTAACCTTACGTAAAAATCCATAGTACCTACAATTTGTACGTAATATTAAGGGAACATGAAGTACACCTTGATACTTATTATACGTATTTTACGTATAAATACGCATTTTTATGAGAATTCTAAATGCTACATGTTTTAAGTAAAAATACATATTAATTACTACGTTAATGCGTATTATTATGTATTTGACTTAATAGTACGTAAAATTAATTTGTTACGTTCTATTATGAATCTAACGTAAAACATACGTATTCTTACGTTGGTGCGTACTATTACATAGTTTATGTAAAAATACGTAAATCTTATGTTGATGCCTACTATTATGTATCTTACGTAAACATACGTATTTTTACATTGATACTTACTATTTCGTATCTAACGTTAAAATACGGAAAAATACGTCAAAGTATATACTATTACTATCTTACGTAAACTTACGTTTTCGTATCTTACATAAACTTACGTATTCGTACTATTTTTTGTATCTTACGTTAAAATACATAAAAGTACGTTGAAGTCTTTTATTACGTATCTTACGTAAACTTAAGGGTTTCGTACTAATTCGTATCTCACTTAAAAATACATTTTACATTGTTGATGCGTATTACTACGTATTTTACGTACAAAATTTATGCGTACTATTACGTATTTTACGTAAAAATACATAGATTTACATTGATACGTACTATCACTCCTTTTATTTATGTATTTTTAAATAAATATGTAGCATTCCGTACAGTTACGTATTTTACGGTAAAAAAGAGTATTTTTTACGTAAAAATACGTAGTCTTACGTTAATATATATAGAAGTGAAATTCTTTTAGAACAATTTTTTGACATTGCAGAGATAGGAATATTAATGGTTTTGTTAATGTTAATAAAAAAAAAAAAAAATTAACAATCAAACCTGTTTGTCGTGTAGTGTCGTTCAAAATTTTTAATCAACATTTTATAAACGCCATCGGGTGTTGGTGGATTACTGCATGCATCACCCATTGAACATCTACCGCCATTTAAATCTTGCCACATTACCATGGGAACTTCCCATAATCCTGGATATGATCTTGTTGGACATGGTGGTATCATACAATCGTGGAATAGTTTATAATCTAAGGTATATGGCCAACTTGGTGGTCGATTTTCATAAATTGGCATTGACGAGTCATATGTGAAATTTAAATCCCAAAGCATTTTGAACATATTGTTGCCACCAACCTGCAAAAGAAACAAAAATTTAAAAAAAAATTTATCAAATATTTGTATTTTCTTTTTTTTTAAGTCGATTTATCGATTATTTCAATCGATATATCGATGATTTTAATCGATATATCGATTATGTTAATCGATTTATCGATTATGTTAATCGATTTATCGATTATGATAATCGATGTATCGATCTTTAATCGATTTATCAATCTTTTAGTCGATATAGACTCAATTTATCGAATGTTCATTGATAAATCAAAATTAATCATTTTATCGACAACTTAAACAATATATCAATGTATTGATTGAAAAATCGATTTATCGGTACTCAGTCAGTATATCGATATAAATTCGATTTATCGATATTTTATCGATATTAATTTGTTATATCGAAATCAAATCGATTTATCGATACATCGTAAATATATCAATGTATCGATATAAATTCGATTTATCGATATTTTATCGATATTAATTTGTTATATCGAAATCAAATCGATTTATCGATACATCGTAAATATATCAATGTATCGATATTAATTCGATTTATCAATTCTCATTTTGTATATCGATATATCGATATTAATTCGATTTATCGATACTTAATCGAATATATCGATATTAATTCGATTTATCGATACTTAATCGAATATATCGATATTAATTTTTTATATCGAAATCAAGTCGATTTATCGAAACATGATCAATATAACAAAGTATCGATATTAGTTCGATTTATCGATACTTAGTCAATGTATCGAAATTAAGTCGATTTGTCGATAGTAAGTGAATATATCGATATAAACGATTTCGAATTCGACTTATCAATACTTAATCGATATATCGATTTTAATTCGATTCTTAATCGATATATCGATTTTTAATTGATTTGTCTATCGATACATTTTCGATAATTTAAAAAAAATTTTTTTTTTTTTTTAATATTTCTAGCCAAGAATTTCATATATAATTAATGCAATGTTTAATCAAGATAAATGTAAATATTAAAAATATGTAAATTAAAATTCTTTTGAATAATTTAATTTATCGAGATTCATATATATATGTAATATTTATTTGTCGATTAGAAGGCAAACATTTCATTTTATATAAATTAAAATTTTGTTGCGCACGGACGAGAAAATCTCACATTACATAAGCGAGCGTTTATGATCGTTTTTAACGATTGCCCTTTGGAAAAATATAAAGTCCCTAGGCCTCCTCTCGTTTCATTTCACATAGTATAAAATTAATTCTTGATATGAATAGTCATTCTCATAACATAAGAAGGCGATTAAATGGGTAACTTAATCGTTTATAGTGTTACGAGGTTATTGCCGAGGTTTCATTTTCTTCCTTTTTTTCTTCATCATCATCTTCTTTTTTTTTTTTTTTTTTTTTTTTGTCTTCATGAAAAATTTAATAATTGCCTATATATTAATGTACATATATATAGTACTAGAAGAAAAAAAGAAAAAAAAAAAAAAAAAAAAAAGGTGAACGCGATTTTCCCTTTCGAAACAATTACCAACTTGAATAACACTAAAAGTTCATCTTTTACCCCCCCCCCCACTCCTCATTTTCTTCTTCTTTTCTCAACATCTGCAATTTTTTTTTTCTACTTCTATACTTGAACTTTTTATAACTCTTAGATAATCATGACTAATTAACCGCGCGCATTTAATTGTATCTCCTTGACTTGAATAAGCCAACTCTGTTGTTTCTGACATTTTCCGAACTTTCATTATAGTGAGAATTATAGTTTTTTTTTTTTCTTTAATTTAACGCTAAAAGAGAATTTTTTTTTGATATTTTTTTATTGTCATAAAAACATAATTGATTTTAGGAAAAATCTATTTTTTGTTTCATATCTCAATTTACAATCGATAACAATCGATACGTTGACTTTTCGATAGATCGATATTTTGATATATATTAACCTATCGATAGATTGATATTTCAATATATATTAACTTATCGATAGCTCGATTTTTCGATATATCGACTTATACATAATTCGATTTATCGATATAATCAAATTATTCACAGTTCGATTTATCGATAAATCGATATTTCGATATACATATTAACTTATCGATTTATCAATATATCGACTTATCGATAGATCGACTTACTGACGAATCGACCTATCGATACACTTTATCGATAGGCTGTTTATTCGATACATCGAATTGTCAAAAATTCGATTTATCGATTTCTTGATAGATCGATTTACTGTTAAATCGATAACTGTTTAATCGATACATTTCAATACATTAACTTATCGACTAATTAACATATCGATTTATCGATGTATCGACTTATTGAATGATCAATATATCGACTTATCAATTAATCTATATGTTGACTTATCAATACATCAATAGATCGACTTATTGTTAAATCGACTTATCGATAGTTTGGTTCTTCGATATATCGACTTATTCACAGATCGATTTATCGATAAATCGACTGTACGGATAAATCAACTTTTCGATACATTGATTTATCGATAGCATGATTTTTCGATATATATATCGACGTGTCAATTATTCGATTAATCGATACATTTGACTAATCGATATCCTGCTTTTTCGATATATCGAGTATTAATTCGACTTATCGATACAGAAATATATCGATATTATTGATTTATCGATTTTTTCATCGATATATCGATTTAATTATCAAAAATTTGTTTGATAATTTAAAAAAAAAATTTTTATATCGATATTTCACAATTAAAATTTTAGAAAGTTTTGGATAAAAATTTTTTTTTTTTTGAGAAATTAAAATTAATTAATAAAAATATGTCTTGGTATGTATAGAAAAGAGAAAAATATTTATTCATAAATAATTTACCGAAAGGAAAGGTGCTCTCATTCCTCGAACATCTTCAAGTTTAACACCTCCGTAGGCTGCCAAAATTTCACGTTGTCCAGCAACTTCTCTGGCCCATTTTCTCGCTGAAAATTGTTCTCCAAAGCTGTGTCTATATTTTGTTTTTCACAGGAAAAGAAGAGAAATAAATTTATTATTATTATTATTATTTTATTTATCATATTTTGAATTTAGAAAAAAATAAAATTTTCAACGTAAATTAATTTAGCTAAATATTTATAGTATTATATAAAAAATTTTTGTAAAAAGCCAAAAAATTATTAATGATTATTAAAATAAAAAATTATTTAATAAAAAAATTATTATTTATTTAAAAAAAAATTATTTATTATAAAAAACATTATTTATTATAAAAAACATTATTTATTAGAAAAAAAATATTTATTAAAAAAATACTTATTAAAAAAAATTATTTATTACAAAAATATTTTTAAAAAAAAATTACTTAAAAAAATTAAATTAAAAAAAAATATATTGATTTTTCTCATTATTATTAAAAATAAAAAAAAACATAGAAAAAAAGGTTATAAATTTTTTTTTCAAATTTATGTCTTAATATTTAAATCTCTTTTATTAAAAAAAAAAAGAAGAAAAAAAAACTTTTATGAAAAGCAGCAATAATAATTTAAGGTGTTAATTTTTGTAATTTAAAAATTTTTTCATCAACTTTTAAATTATTGACAGTGAATTAATCAAATTCCCCCAAAATGACCACAAATAAATAATAAAGCGAGCGACTAAAATTAAAGTAAATTAAGAGAGAGAGAGAGAGAAAAAAAAATTAAATTAAAAAAAGCGAAAGGCGCGTGATGAACTGCATTAGTGACAGGTTAAGATATATACTCTCTCTTTAATTATTACACCAACTGATGATGAGTGTTAGTGGGTCGATGCTACGATTATTATTTTCATGAAAGGCGAAATCTTGGAATAATATATGAAGAACAAAAAAAAAAAAAAAAAATTAATAATTGCTCCAATTTTTTAATTTAAAAATTTAAAAAAAAAAAAATAGATTTTATTGTTGTGCATTACACAATCAAAAGTGACTAAGGGAATTAAAATTGGAGAAAATTAAATATAATTGACGTATATAAATAAAAAAAAAAATATATATATATATATATAAATTAATTAGATATTTAATTTATTTTTTATTTTAATTTAATTTAAATTAAAATTGAAATAATTGTAATTACGTTATATGAAAAATTAATGATTTTATAGAAATATTTAATGGAAAATAAAAAAAAACCAATATTATATAATGTAGAATAATATATATATATAATATTATATAATGTAATAGTTAATAAATAATAAATAATAAATAATAATTATAATAATATAATAATTAATTTTATTTAATTAATAATAATAATAAAAAATAGAAAATATTTAAAAAATTCTAATTAATTTTAGAGGAAACTATAATTAAAATACTATAATTAATATATAAAATATTATATTAAACTTAAAAATTCGTAAATTTTTAAAAATTAAAATAAAAAATAAAGTAAATTAAAAATTAAAAAAAAAATTATTAATTTTTAATATATTTTTAGTGTAAAAAAAAAAGAAAATTATAATAATTTATAAATAAAATAACTTTTAGAAAAATTTAGATGCAAAAACAAATCGATTTTAAATTTATTTATTTAATTATTTAATTCTTTTTTTTATTTATTTACTTATTTATTTATTTAATTACTTAATTATTTATTAACATGTAAATTAAAATTAAAAATCGAAATTTTAAAAATTTTATACCTTCTGATTTAATTATAAATTTCTCAATAAAAATTTTCAAAAAAAATAGGAGAAATTTTGAATAAAAATGAATAATTCAGATATATAAACAAAATTTTAATTTTTACTAAAAAAATTTATTAATTTTTTTTTTAAAACTCTAATTAGTCATATGCTAATTAATTTCTAATAGGAACAAACGAAGAATATTTTTCTATAAATAACGTTATTTTATTTTTTATTTTTTTTTTTAATAGGAAACTATTTTTTTTTCCTCTAATTGGAAAGTAAAATTTTGTTAATTTTTTTTACTACATGCACTTATTAAAAAAAAAAAAAAAAACTGAATTTCAAACTCATATTAATTATATCACCTTATTGCCAATTAGTTCCAATATATATATAAATATAAATATAAATACTTTCTCGTTAATTGTTACTATTATTATTACCATTATTAATTTCTATATACGTAATTTTACGTAATTTACGTAAAAACATTTTGGTCATTCTCTTTGTAATGAAAGCCGACTTAAAATATTTTATAATAGTGTATATAACAATTACAAACAACTTTTTTTTTTTCTTTTAATGATAATTATTATTTTTATTGATCGAGTATATAGATTACGTTTTTTTTTTCAATATATCGACATAAGCAAATTATCAAAATATTCCATAATCGATAAAATCGATTTTTCAATATATCATAATTTTTATATTTCATAATCGATTTTTAATAAAAAAAAAAAAAATGTCTATTAAATATATCGATTAATCGCATTTTAAAATGCGATATATCAAAAATATATCGATTATTAAACAGCAATGTATCGATAAATCGATTATTAAATAACGATATATCGATTAATCGTTTTTAACAATTGATATATTGATAAATCGATTATTAAGTTACGATACATCGATTACTCGCTTTTTAACAATCGATATATTGATAAATCGACTATTAAGTAACGATATATCGATTAATCGCTTTTTAACAATCGATTAATCGATAAATCACATTTTAATAATCTATATATCGATAAATCAGTGAATAAATAACAATAAATCGCAATTTAAAAATTTATATTTCGATAAATCGACTAATAAATAACAATAAATCGCTTTTTAATAATCGATGTATCGATATATAAATTTGTAAGTAACGATATATCGATTAATCAATTTTTATTAATCGATATATCGAGAATTCAATTATTAAGTAACGATATATTGATTAATTACTTGTCAACAATCGATATATTGATAAATCGATTATCAATTAACGATATATCGATTAATTACTTTTCAACAATCGATAAATCAATTATTAAGTAACAATAGATTGATTATAAAATTGCAATATATTGATTAATCTCAAAAATACGATTATGAAATTACAATATATCGATTAATCGCTTTTTAACAATCGATATATCGACAAATCGATTAGTAAGTAACGATATATCTATATATCGATAAATCGGTGAATAAATAACAAAAAATCGCTATTTAATAATTTATATTCTATAAATCGACTAATAAATAACAATAAATCGCTTTTTAATAATCGATATATCGATATATAAATTTGTAAGTAACGATATATCGATTAATCAATTTTTATCAATCGATATATCGTTATATAAATTTGTAAGTAACGATATATCGATTAATCAATTTTTATCAATCGATATATCGATAATTCAATTTTTATCAATCGATATATTGATAATTCAATTTTTAAGTAACGATATATTGATTAATTACTTGTCAACAATCGATATATTGATAAATCGATTATTAATTAACGATATATCGATTAATTACTTTTCAACAATCGAAAAATCAATTATTAAGTAACAATAGATTGATTATAAAATTGCAATATATTGATTAATCTCAAAAAATCGGTTATAAAATTAAAATATATCGATTAATCGCTTTTTAACAATCGATATATCGACAAATCGATTAGTAAGTAATGATATATCAATTAATCGATTTTTAACAATCGACATATCGATAAATCGACTATTAAGTAACGATATATCGATTAATCATTGTTTGATCGAGCGATATGTTGAACATATCGTTTATCGCTTATGAAAATTCGATATATCGATCATTTTATATCGATAAATCGATGCTACATAATCATAATCGACAGAAAATACACAAAATTTAAAAATAACAAATAAATAAGTAAAAATAAATAACAAATAGGGGAAGAAATAAATAAATAAAAATTAATAACAAATAGGGAAAGAAATAAATAAATAAAAATTAATAACAAATAGGGAAAGAAATAAATAAATAAAAATTAATAACAAATAGGGGGAAAAATAAATAAAAATTAATAACATTTGTAGGGGGGAGGGGAAATTAAATAAAAAATTTAAAAAAAATTAAAATAAAAAAAGGGGGAAAATTAAAATAAAATTTTAAAAAATTTGTTATTAAAAAATAAACAAATTAGTGTAAAAAAAATTGATAAATTAGGAAATTTTTTTCTTTTTTGTAATAATTGAAAAAAAAAATTAAAAAGGGTGTGTGCTCTTTTTTTTTTTTTTTGAAGTACTTACGAGACCGTGTGGGAGGCAATCTCGTGACCAGAAGCGTATAAATTTTGAACTTGGCTGTAGTCGGTCCATTCGTGGGACACGTAGAAGGACGCCGAGATGGGACAGCCATTGGGGTTCTTTCTGCCCTTTTCAAAGAGATCCGCGTACAGACCCTTGTTAAGGTCGTTCACGGAATCGTCGAAGGTCAGGAGCACGATTTGCGGTATCTCCTCTGGCAAGTAGTCTCCTGATTTTTTGTTTTTTTTTGTTTTTGTTTTCAAAAGGAGCATAAAAGGATTGTGGGTAGGATTCATTGTTTTTATAATGTTATCAGTGTTTTTATTTTTTTTTGTAAATTATTTTTTAACGTCAAAAAAAGATTTTTTTTGTATTTTTGAAAATTTAATTTAATTTTTTTTTTAGTTATAATGAAAAAAAAATGGATTTTTTTAAATTGAATTTTTTTTTTTTTAATTTAGATATATTTTATTTTTGTTTAAAAAGACAAAAAAAAAAGTAAATTCAATTAATTTGAACAATTTAAAGAAATGAAAGTATGAATGTATTATGGATACGTATGACAATGTAAAAGAAGTGAAAAGGTTGGGAGAAAGAAAAAAAAAATTTTTCATGTTAGTGATGCAAAATTAGTTTTTAGCAAAAAAAAAAATTAACAATTTTTCTTTTAATGTAGAAAACAAAAAATATTTTTTCCCTAAAATTTTGTTTTACTAATTTTTAATATTAATAACAAAAAAAAATATTAATAATTATTATTATTTTTGTAAATGATAATAAAATAAATAATAATAATATTATAATAATAATAATAGTAATTTTATTTTCAATAATAATAATAATAATAATTATTATTTTTTGAGTTTTTTGAAAAAATTTCAAATAACAAAAATAAAAAATTATTTAAATATATTTTTTTTTTTGAAATAAAAATAGATAAACATTTGTTGTTTTCTGCAAATAAAAAGCCATATAACTTTCTAGGGAACGTGACGACCTTGAGGAAAGCGAACTCATCTGGGTTTTTTTTTCTTTTTCACAATCTTTTAAAGAAAATTAATTTTTTTTTATTTTATTTAATTTTTTTTTTTTTTTTTTTTGTTCTCTTAAACCTCAAGGACACAGTTTCCTTTGATTATTGTCCCCCTCCCCCCTTTGAGGAAAAAAAAAAGAAACCGAATGCGGAGCGATAATGAAATCCCGTAAGAAACGAAGATAATGGCGTGAATCTTCTTAGGCGATATGTTGATGAGACTCGTGATATCCGGTGTGTATAGTGGCAACCCAATGAAAAACATCGTGAATCGCGATTATATCGATGGTTAAGCAATAATTCACTCAAGGAATCACAAACACTTCTCACTTTTATTTATTTTTTTTTCTATTTCTTCGATTTTCTTTGTTTTAATAATTTCTTTATAATTACTTTTTTTATTTAATTTTTTTTTTCAATTTTTACTATAAAAAAAAAATTATAATTGAGAGAAAAAAAATTTCTACAAAAATATTCCGATCAAAAAATATTTTAATTTCAAACATTTTTTTTTTACTAGAAAATTTGGAAATTTTTTTTTTTTTAAATTTATTTTTAATTATTTATTAATTTAATTTAATTCTTTATTTTTTAATTATTCACGGGGGAAAAAAGTAATTAATAATAATATTTTTTTCAAAATTAAATATAATGAAAAAAAAATTTTTTTTTGTTTGGATTCTTTTTTTTTTGTAAACCATCGATATAATAATGAAAAAACATTTAAATGTATAGTGCAATTTAAAGCTTTTCACATTAAAAAAAATGAAAAAAAAAAAAAATTAAAACAATTGCGGTAAGAGAGCCAGCCGAACTTACGAAACTGTGTGAGACGCCATCTCGTGGCCGCCGGCATAAAGATTTTGTACTTGACTGTAATCGGTCCATTCATGTGATACATAAAATGTTGCCGATATTGGACAACCATTTGGATTTTTTCGTCCCTTTTCAAATAAATCCGCGTACAATGGTTTATTTAAATCATTAACGGCATCGTCAAATGTTAAAAGTACAATTTGTGGCGTTTTATTCACCGCAATGCCACCTATATGATTCAGAGAGAGAAAAAAAAAATAGAAAGGAATTTTGTCAAATAATTTTTTGAAAAAAAAAAAAATTCCAAAAAACCAGTCCAAATCTATTTTAAACCGGTTCAAATTAGTTTAAATCTATTTTAAATCAGTTTAAATTAGTTCAAACCAGTTCAAACCTATTTTAAAGTAGTACAAACCTAGTTCAAACAAGTTTAGACAAGTACAAACCTATTTTAAAACCAGTTTAAACAAGTTCAAACCAGTTCAAACATATTTTAAACTGGTTCAAATCAGTTTAAACAAGTCCAAACAAGTACAAACCTATATTAAACAAGTTTAAACCAGTTAAAACAAGTTCGAAACAAATTTAAACCAGTTTAAACAAGTTCGAAACAAATTTAAACTAGTTTAATTCTGTTTTAAATCGGTTTAAACCATTTCAAATTAGTTCAAACCAGTTCAAACATATTTTAAAAAAGTTCAAACCAATTTAAAAAAGTCCAAACCTATTTTAAACCAGTTTAAACATATTTTAAACTAGACCAAACACAATTTAAACTTGCTCAAACCAGTTTAAACAAGTCGAAACAAGTACAGACCTATTTCAAACCAGTTTTAACAAGTTTAAACCAGTTAAGACAAGTTTGAAACAAGTTTAAACCAGTTTAAACATATTTAAAAATTGTTCATACCAATTTAAACAAGTCCAAACCTATTTTAAATCAGTTTAATAAACTTGTTTCAAACTTGTTTTAACTGGTTTAAACTTGTTTAATATAGGTTTGTTCAAACATATCTTAAACTAGACCAAACATAATTTAAACTAGTTCAAACCAGTTTGAAACAAGTCTAAACAAGTTAAGACAAGTTTGAAACAAGTTTAAACCAGTTTAATCCTGTTTTAAACCAGTTTAAACAAGTTCAAGGCAGTTCAAACATATTTTAAACTAGACCAAACATAATTTAAACTAGTTCAAACCAGTTTAAACAAGTCGAAACAAGTGCAGACCTATTTCAAATCAGTTTTAACAAGTTTAAACCAGTTAAGACAAGTTTGAAACAAGTTTAAACCAGTTTAATTCTGTTTTAAACCAGTTTAATCCTGTTTTAAACCGGTTTAAACCAGTTTAAAAATATTTTAAACATGTTCAAATCAATTTAAACAAGTCCAAACCTTTTTTAAACCAGTTTAAACAAGTTTAAACCATTTAAGACAAGTTCGAAAGGAGTTTAATCCTATTTCAAACTGGTTTAAACCAATTCAAACCTATTTTAAACCAGTTTAAACTAGTTCTAACCTATTTTCAACCAATTTAAACTAGTTCTAACCAATTTTAAACCAGTTTAAACATGTTTGAAACCTGTTCAGACAAGTTCGAAACGTTTTTTTACTGTTTAAAATTATTTAAAACGATTTCGAACAAATTAGAAAATTATTTAAAACTAATTTGAAACTGTTTAAGACAACAGTTGGTAAAAAATATATTATTTTTTTTGTTGAAAAATAAAATGGAAATTGTTTTTTCTTGAATACGTGTTATGTATATGAATAAAAATCAGTGGGTTCTTTTTTTTTTTTTTTTTTTTTTTAATATCCCCGAGATAAGCGTGTTTACTTCCTCGTGAAAGAATTTCTTCCTTGGTCATTGCTATTGTTTTATTGTGACAATGTGGGCACGTTTAATGCGAGCAATTACGTGCCTCGTGAACGAAGGCCGCGCTCTGGCTGTTTTATTGCGAAAGGGTGAGAGGGGGGAGGGGGGCGCCGTTTTTTTTCTTCTCCTTCGCGATAGGAGGTTCGTTGAAGTTATTAAAGGTGCTCACATAAATACATATACATACACGTATCTGTTTCACTTTCAAACGTGTACTGAAGTAATGAGTATGTAACGTTTTAGAGAACAGGGAGAAAGTCTTCAAGCGGACTGCTAAATCGATCGTCAAAATCAACATTCGGAACGCGGACAATATTGCGTCACCTTGTCTCCGTTAATCAGCCATGCTCGACAAGTATTTTTCTCCCCTCCATTTTTATTTTAGTTTATTATTATTATTAATATTGTGAATTGATTTTTAATTATTTTTTTCCGCCAATAATTAATTTTTTTGTTTTTTGAAACAATAAATTTCGCATTTTTGTAATGGTAATTAATTTTTTTATGTTTTTTTAAATTTTTATAATTTTTTTTTATTTTTTAATATTTTTTTTTCTATTTATTTTCAAATTTTTATTACTTTTTTTTTAATTTTTAATATATTTTTTATTTATTTTCAATTTTTTATTACTTTTTTTTGAATTTCTTATTATTTTTTAATTAATTAATTAATTTTTTTATGTTTTTTTAATTTTTTAAAAAATTTGTATAATTTTTTTTTATTTTTTAATATTTTTTTTCTATTTATTTTCAAATTTTTATTACTTTTTTTTAATTTTTAATATATTTTTTTATTTATTTTTAGTTCTTTTTCCAATTTTTTAAATTTATTTTTTAATTTTTAAAAACTTTTTTTATTTATTTTTATTTTTTACTAATTTCTTTTTTAAGTTTTTCAATTTTTTTTATTTATTTCGGGTTTTTTTCACATTTTTTTTAATAAAAACAAATTTAAAAAAAAAAATTTTAATTTAAAAATTTTTTTTTAACTTTTTATTACTTTTTTAAAATTTTTTAATATTTTTTAAAATTAAATTTAATTTTTAAACAAAATTTTTTCTTTTTAAAATTTTTATTTTTTTATTTTCTTTTTTTTAGTTTTTCCTTTATGTTTTTAATTTCGTTTGTTTTTTGTGAATTTTTTTTATATTTAAAATTTTTTTTTTTTTCTTAAAAAATTATCAATAAGTGTTTCAAAAAATCTCAGACGCCTAAAAATGAAATTCGTTATCCCGAAAGATTTATCTCATTTCTATAAAATTTTACACAACAACAAAATTACGAGGTGACAGAAAAAAAATCAGCTGTTCGGAGCGCGGCCGCCATATTTGACAATTGACGCGAAAGTTCCTTTTTCTCGCCCTTGGGATTTTATTTAAAAAAAATTTAATAATAAATTAAATTTTTTTTAGTTATATAAAAATAAAAAAAATTATTATTATTATTATTATCACACATTACCTGGAATATCAGCACCACCACACGAACAATCAGGTATTAAACAAACGTCTTTACGACATCTGGCGGCTGGTTTGTCAACTTGTGGCGTTGGATAAATTGGCGCCGGTCTTACAGCCGGATGTCTATAGATGTCAACAAATTCCTGTGCCTTGGAAACAATTTCTGTCGATGGTTTTAATGTTGGTCGCGAGCGTCTTGAAAATAAAAAAAAAAAAATTTATGTTAATTAAATTTTTTTTTTGAAGTTCCAATTTTTTTTACCTAAAAATTTGGAAAAACAATTTTTAAAAACTGAAAATAAAATTTGAGATAAGATTCTTAACCTAAAAAAAAATATTATTGACAAAAAAAAATTTGGAGAAATTAAATAAATAAAAAATATTAATTTTGCCATTGAGTAGATTATATTTTGATAAAAATAAATTTGAAATATTAATTTATTTCTTAATAATTGAGAAAAAAAAATTTCAAGTGACGCCACATTGAAACAGCTGATCGACGCGATATCGGCCATGTTTGTTTTTCATTTGAAGTTAGAAAGCGCGCTAATTTTCAAAAAATTCAAATCATACAGTTTTTTTTATTTAAATAAAAATTTTATAAAAAGAAAATAATAATAAAAAAAAATAAAAATAATAAATTAATAATAATAATAATAAATAAAAATAATAAAATAATAATAATATTAAAAAAATAATAATAAAAATAATAATGATTTTCGAAAATTTGTCAATAAAACAACGTAAATTATAATAGAGTAAAATAAAAAGTGTGCTCGTTACTAAATCATTGAAAATATTTATAACCATTCAAGTCGTATTATCTAATAGTTGACAGTAAAAATATGTTTTCGCCAATTTAAATTGACCGGGACAATATTGAAGTAAGAATGACACAATTAATGTTAAATTGACTCCTTTTTTTGTCCACCCTCCTCTCCCCCCCTCTCCCTGTCTCCCCCTTTTTACAATCGATTAAAATACGATTTCTATTTGAACGACATAACTTTCGTAATCCATAAAATCGCAAAGATATTATCGTGACCGCATTTTAAACCAAATAAAGGCACATTTTTCTTTCCTGGGGAATTTTTTTTTTTTTTTTTTTTTTAATCACATCAAATTTAACGTAAATTTAAAAAAATATTTATTTTTTTACTTCTGATATAAAATGATTAATTTAGTTTTTTTTTGTCATTAAACAATAATAGCAAAAAAATAAAATAAAATAAAGTTAAACAATACGGTCACTTTTTCTTTGTTCGTCTTTTGTCAGATAAATAAAGAAAAGTTAGAATAAAAATAAATTTGTAAAGTAAAATTTTTGAAAAAATTTTCATAAATAAATTTTAAACATATTCAAAATTGTTTTGAAATAAATTAAGAATGCATTGAAAACTTGTTAAAACTGTTAAAAACTATTTAAAATTATTTAAAATTACTTACAACAAATTAAAATTATTTAAAAAAAAACTTTTAGAAATTATTTAAAACTTTTTAAAACTATTTCAAATTATTTAAAACGGTTTAAAATTATTAAAAAAAAAAAGGTTAGAAATTATTTAAAACTTTTTTCAAACTATTTAAAACCATTTAAAACTGTTTACAACTATTTATAACAAGTTCAAAACTATTTGAAACAAGTTCAAAACTATTTGAAACAAGTTTAAAACTATTTAAAACCGTTTAGATCCGTTTTTCAACTATTTATAACAAGTTTAAAACTATTTAAAATCATTTAAATTTATTTAAAACAAGTTTTAAACCATTTAAAACTATTTGCAACAAGTTTAAAACTATTTAAAACAAGTTTAAAACTATTTGAAACAAGTTTAAAACTATTTAAAACAAGTTTAAAACTATTTGAAACAAGTTTAAAACTATTTCAAACCGTTTAGAACCGTTTACAACTATTTATAACAAGTTTAAATTTATTTAAAATCATTTAAATTTATTTAAAATCATTTAAATTTATTTAAAATCATTTAAATTTATTTAAAATCATTTCAATTTATTTAAAACTATTTGCAACAAGTTTAAAACTACTTGCAACAAGTTTAGAACAAATTAAAACAAGTTTAAAACTGTTTAAAACAAGTTTAAAACTATTTAAAATCGTTTAGAACCGTTTACAACTATTTATAACAAGTTTAAAACTATTTAAAACCGTTTAGGTCCGTTTACAACTATTTATAACAAGTTTAAATTTATTTAAAATCATTTAAATTTATTTAAAACAAGTTTTAAACCATTTAAAACTATTTTCAACAAGTTTAAAACTATTTAAAAGAAGTTTAAAACTATTTAAAACCGTTTAGAACCGTTTAAAACTATTTATAACAAGTTTAAATTTATTTAAAATCATTTAAATTTATTTAAAACAAGGTTTAAACCATTTAAAACTATTTGCAACAAATTTAAAACTACTTGCAACAAGTTTAGAACAAATTAAAACAAGTTTTAAACTTGTTCAAACAGGTCTAAACAAGTACGAACCTGTTTGAAATGGTTTAAAACAAATTTAAATATGTTCAAAACTGTTTAATATTGTTTAAAATTCGTCAAAAAAAATTTTTTTTTTAATTTTTAATGTAATTTTTTTTTTTAATTGAAATAAATTAGAATGAAAAAAAAATTGAAAATCTAGTCTAAATTTAGATGTGTGTAAAGAGTCAATAATAATGATACTTACGGTGGTGCGGTACCACGGTTAACTTGTGGTCGACCCCGGCTGTAAAAACAAATCAGTGTTTGTTATAACGACGCGAATTTAACACCCGACGTTTTTTTTTTTTTTCTATTTAAAAGCGAGACAGAGAGACAGAAAGAGAGAGAGAAAGAAAAAAAAGTGAGAGAAAGAGAGTGCTTTCATTTAATATAGTCGTTTATGCCGAGGAGAAAGCAAGTAAGAGTGAAATTAATATTTAGTATATTGCGAACAAATGTCTGTCAAATGAAAAATAGGAAAAGGAATAATGAAAGAAAAAGAGAGAGAGAGAGATAAAGAAGAAAAGAAAATTGGGCCTTGGCCGACATTCTAAAATATTAGTCACAATTTAAAATTGAAAAAAAAAATTTAGTGGACAAAACCGTAAAAAAGAGAAAAAAAAAATAAAAAAAAAATTAATCAATAATTAATAATAATTAATTAATTTATTAACTGTAATAAATAATAATTAACAGATAGTTAATTTGTTAATAATAAATAATTTAATTATTTATTAATTGTTTATTAATTAACAGTAATTAATAAGAATAATTAATTATTTATAAATTAACAGTAATTAATAACAATAATTAATTATTTATTAATTGACAGTAATAATAATTACTACTAATTAATTGTTTATTAATTAACAGTAATTATTAATAATAATTAATTATGTATTAATTAACAATTGTTAATAAAAAATATTTAATTATTTAGTTATTATTATTAGTATTATTATTAATTAACAGTATTTAATAATAATTAATTGTTTATTAATTACTGTTAATAAATAATTTATTATTTACTTATTACCAATAATAAAAAAAAAAATTAATAAATAATTTATGATTTATTAATTAAAAATAAATAATTTTTTTTCACTACATGTTAATAATTTTAAAAACAATTAGAGAAAAAAAAGGTTGACTTGGCTTTTTTCTTGGTACAGTGAGTTTTAATTAATTTAATTTTTAATTACAAGTAAGAAAAAAATATTTTTCGTTCAAACGAGATTAGATGAAAAAAAAATAAAACTTCGCGACGAATTTTTTTTCAAATAATTTGATTAATAATAATAATAATAATAATAATAATAATAAATATTTATTTACAAAACAAATATTTGATGAATTAAAAAATACCAATAATATTGTAATGTATATATATATATATAATGTGACACTCGCGATCATTGAAGATACTATCGGCTAATTTATTAACAAGCGAATCGCGTCTCGCGTAGAAATCCGCGTCACAACATTGCGGCTTTCCTTTTTCTCAATATTGAAAACTTGTGTTGGTCAAGGTTAATAAAAAAAAAAATTCAAATAATATTGTATTAAAGAATTAAAAAAAAATAAATTTTTTTTTAATTTTAATTCAATTATATTATTATTTAAAATTAAATTAATTTTTCAATTAACTATATTATTAATTGAAATTAAAAAAAATTTTTTTTTTTTAATTTTTAAAGATGATTAAAAATTATAGTGAAAGAATTAATAATGCTAAATAAAGTTCTTGTTAAGAAGAAAATTAATTTTTCACATTATGTTAATATTAGAAAAACAAAAGAAATTAGGAGCTAAAAAACACAGAGAGCAGAAGAAAATACTTTTTTTTGACACTAACTGTTTAAATTGCAAAAGACAAATTAATTATAAATTTTCGTTTAATTTTTTTTTTTTTAATTTATAAATAAATATAAATAAATTAATTCCCTAGATTCAATTGTCAAAAATAGAAATCATTTTTTGAAATTATTTTTTTTCTTTTAGTTTTCTTTTAATAAAAATTTTAAAATCTGATGTGTGAGCCTTTATATAGATATCAGCTGTTTATCGGACGCCATTTGCATATTAACAGTTAGTGCCATCTAATGTCTAATTTCTAAAGCTCAAACAAAAATAGAAATGAAATATTAAAAACAGACGAATTTGATTTATATATATATATTATATATATATATATATATATATATATATTTATAATTTGTTTCACAAAAATTTAATTTCGAAAAAAAATTATTTAAAAAAAAAAATTGTTTTCAAAAAAACATTTTATTATCAAATTCGTTTATTTTTTTTTTAAATTAAAATTTTTTATTTTTGCCTTCACATACCTGGGAGCACTTATTGAATATTGACGAACAGTCGTTGGTGTTGGTTGAGTTGTTGTTGTCAGAGAAATGTATGAATCGACAATTGAATTTGGCGTTGTCACATGAACAACTGGATGACTTAAAACATTAGTTCTAAAAAAAAAAATTGTTTTTATAAATTGAAAAAAAATTACATTAATAAATTAAATTAGCTTTTTTTCAAAAATTAAAAAAAAATAAAAAAAAATCGATTAATGCAAATATTGATCAATTAGAGTATCGATTAATCGAACTATCGATCTATCGAAATATCGATTAATCGAACTATGAATTAATCGAAATATCGATTAATGCAAATATCGATCAATTAGAGTATCGATTAATCGAATTATGGATCTATCGAAATATCGATTAATCGAACTATGAATTAATCGAAATATCGATTAATGCAAATATCGATCAATTAGAGTATCGATTAATCGAACTATCGATCTATCGAAATATCGATTAATTAGATTATCGATTAATCGAACTATAAATTAATCGAAATATCAATTAATGCAAATATCGTTCAATTAGAGTATCGATTAATCGATCTATCGAAATATCGAAGAATCGATTACTCGAGAAATCGATCTATCAAAGAATTTTTTTTCTTTTTCTTTATTTTCATTGCAATTTTTTTTTTTTTGAAGAAAAAACAAGTATTTTTTTTATTTATTATTAATTTCATTACATTTTGCAAACGTAGAAAAAATAATAATAATAATAATAATAAAGCATAAAATAGAAAACGCGATACAAAATAAAAAATAAAATAAGAATTATTATTATTTGTTGAGTTGCGAAAATTACGAAAGTCTTTTTCATTTATTATCGTTTGCTTAAGAGTAAGTCGACAAAAATTTGTTGGCAAAACTATTATTGCAATTCAAATCTAATTACATATATTTCAAAGATGAGAAGGAAGAAGAAAAAAAGAAAAAGAATTTGAATGACAATTAAAATATTATCTTTTATTATTTTATTTTATTTTTTTTTTTTTTGCTTTGAAATTCTTTGGTCAAATTAGGAGAAAGTGTCAATAATTTGTTATTCAGTTAGTTATAATTAAATATTGCGAGGTTTAGACAAATTGCAATTTTTTTTTACTCTTATTATTATGATTATATTATTCGTATTGTTTGATTAAATATTAAAAAAAAAATTAAAACATTAATAAACAATTTGACATCATTGTTAAAAACAATAAACAATTTAATTTTTTAAATTAAAAAATTATTGGAAAAATAAAAAGAAAACTATTTCAAACTATTTTTAAACTGTTCTAAACTAGTTTAAAATAATTTCGAACTAGTTCTAAATTGTTCAAACTACTCGAAACTATTTCGAACTAGTTTAAAACAAATTTGAATTAGTTATTAATTGTTAAAATTATTCTAGACTATTTCAAAAAAAGTTTAAAATAGTTTTAAACAAGTTTTGAAAATATCTTTAAAATAGTTTTAAACAAGTTTTTAAAATAGCTTTAAACTAGTTTTGAGAATAGTTAATAATTTATTTGAAACTAGTTTTAAAATAGTTTCACACTAGTTTTTAAAATAGTTATTAAATAATTTGAAAATAGTTTCTAACTAGAATTAAAATAGTTCATAAATAATTTGAAAATACTTTTAAAATAGATTCAAACTAGTTTCAAACTAGTTTTTAAATAGTTTAAAACTAGTTTTAAAATAGTTTCAAACTAGTTTTAAAATAGTTTCAAACTAGTTTTTAAATAGTTTAAAACTAGTTTCAAACTAGTTTTTAAATAGTTTCAAACTAGTTTAAAACTGGTTTTTAAAATAGATATTAAATAAATTAAAACTAGTTTTAAAATAGTTTCAAACTAGTTTTAAAATAGTTTCAAACTAGTTTCAAAATAGTTTCAAACTAGTTTTAAAATAGTTTCAAACTAGTTTAAAACTGGTTTTTAAAATAGATATTAAATAAATTAAAACTAGTTTTAAAATAGTTTCAAACTAGTTTTCAAAATATTTTCAAATAAACAAGTTTATAATTAATAATACAAAAAAATTGTAAATCTCTTACCTTATTGATTGTTGATTGTCCGTGAGTCTAAATTTATTCTTGTTTAGTTGAGCCTAAAAGGAGAAAAAAACAAAAAAAAAATTAAATAAAAAAGTAATTATTTGTTTATTTAAATAGAAATATATAAAAATATTTATTTTTTATCTATTTATAAATATTATAAATAAATAATAATGTTTTATTATAAATTAATAAATAAATAAATTATAGAATATTGTCGATTAAGGTACTCACCTGATTGTCGTAAATGTCGTAATCCTGAACTGTGACGTCTTGATTCAAGTTGTACTTGTCAGCATCGTTTACGGTGACCTTCTTCGGCTTTTGATGATATTGCTTTGAGTTCGATGACACGTCACTTATTCTCACGCTTTGATGTTGAACCGGTAACGTGTGGTTCACCGTGTATTGATTGTAATCTTAAAAAAAAAAATTTAGAAAAAAAAAACAAAATAATTGTAATTTTCTTAAATAATCAAATAATTATTTAATTTAATATAATAATAATAATAACAATTATTAATAAAAAAAAATAATAATTTTTTTTTTACTTTATAAAGGGTATTTTTTTGTAAAGCCGTGTAAAATTTAAATAAATAAATTAATTAATTAATTAATATTTATTTATAAATATAAAGTAACGAAAATTATATATATATATATAGTGAGAGACAAGTTTCATTTATTGATTTTTCTTAAAACGACATTCGATTTTCTGGTTGTTGGTATTTTGTTTTTTCTTTCTTTCTTTTTTTTTTTTTTTTTTTTTCTTTCTGAATAAATAGCAATTAAGCAAGAGTTTATTCCTTTTTTGTTTTCTAATTGCGTGATATATTTTACTATTTGCCATTTTACCTCAAGCGCGACAGAATTCAAAACATATTTCGTAAGTTCTATCAATTGGAGGAAAAATTAAAAAAATATAAAAATAAAAAGAAAATTAAGAAATTTTAAAAATATTTAAAAATAAAAAAGAGTAAAAAAATATAAAAATTTAAAAATTTAAAAAAAAAATTTAAAAATAAAAAAGAGTAAAAAAATATAAAAATTTAAAAATTTAAAAATTTAAAAAATATTCAAAAATAAAAAAAGAGTAAAAAAATATAAAAATTAAAAAAAAATATAAAAATTAAAAAAAAATATAAAAATTAAAAAAAAATATAAAAATTAAAAAAAAATATAAAAATTAAAAAAAAATATAAAAATTTAAAAAATATATAAAAATAAAAAAAAATTGTTCCTTAAAAAATTCTAGATTTGAATTAAAAAAAATTTTTTTTTTTTTTTAACACTTACCATCGTCTTTATAAATGGAAACATCGTCATCGTAAATTGTATAAAAAGGATAACTTTGATCAGGATCATTATAATAGCTTTTCGAAAATGGCGCTGGTACTGGCGCCGCTGTCGAAGCTGTTGTTTTTACATTTCTTGGCGATTCAGATGGTGCGCTCCTTTAAATAAAAAAAAAAAAAAATTAAAAAATTAATTTTTTTTATATTGAAAAAAAATAAAAAATTAAGTTTTTTTATATTGAAAAAAATTAATATAAAGAAAAAAATGGTTTTTTTTTCTCAAAATGATACCGTCTCATCTACATAAATAGAAAAATAATTAAATAAATAAAAAAAATAAATAAATCACCTGTAGTGACTTTCAGTCTGAGCCCTCGAATTTATAATGCTGTCCTTTTCCCTTTCCTGAAAAATAATTGATATTTTATTTATTTTTTAAAAAATAGGTAATAATTAATTACAATTAAAACAGTAAATTAAAAAAGTAATAAAATAAAAAAAAATATCAAAATAATAAAGTAATAACAAAAAAATATTTTTCTGTTACCATTAAAAAAAAAAATTGATCCGCTTCTATAAAATAAAAAAAAAATAAATTAAAAATTAAATTAAAAAAAAATAATTAAAGATTCAAAATATAATATGAATTTATAAAGACCTAAAGAATTATTATTATTATTATTATTATTATTATTGTTAATCACAACTTGCTCAATGTATTTATAAGAAGTTGTGCTCCTGTTTTCTATTATATATTCCCCTCATTATGATGCATATATATATATATATATAAAATGAAAAATCATTGTATGTTAATAAAGCGAGAATAATTCGTAACAGGATACAATGTTTTGTGATACATTGTTTGAATAATATTTAAATAATTGTGTGTCCAACATCTATTATATTAATTATCAACATCCATTGAGAACTTCATGCTGAATTAAATTCCTTCGCTTAAAATATAATATAATTCAATATGCAATATGCTCTATATTTAAAAAAAAAATCATAATAATACAGATATATTTATATAATTCTAATTATTCTCTCTTTCTCTTCTATTGTAAGTATATTAACTAGAACAAGGCTCTACTTGCATTCAATTTCATTTATATAAATATATATATGTCATTTGAAATCATTTTTTTTAGAATAAAAAAAAAAAATTTTTTTACCACAAAAAAAATAAATCTTTGTTAGAATTTAAATTACAAATGAAATTATCAAAATTCTTAAGAAAAGTATTTTTAAATTTTTTATTAATTTAAATTTAAAAAAAAACCGTTTAATTTTCTATTAAACTAGTTTAAATTTTTCATTGGACTAGATTGAACTAGTTGGAAACTAGTGTGAAGTTATTGTCATACTAGTTTGTACTATTTGGAAACTAGAGTGAATTTGTTGTTAAACTAGTTTGAACTGGTTGGAAACTGGAGTTTCTGTTTGAAACTAGATTGAAACTAGACAGAAACTAGACAAAAACTAGGTAGAAACTGGGCAGAAACTAGACAGAAACTAGACAGAAACTAGGCAGAAACTAGGGAGAAACTTGAAAGAAACTAAACAGAAACTAGGCAAAAACTAGGTAGAAACTAGGCAGAAACTGGACAGAAACTTGGAAGAAACTAGCAGGAACTAGGCAAAAACTAGGTAGAAACTAGGCAGAAACTTGGAAGAAACTAGACAGCAACTAGGCAGAAACTAAGCAGAAATTAGGCAAAAACTAGACAGGAACTAGGTAAGAAACTAGATAGAAACTATGCAATAACTAGACAGCAACTAGATAGAAACTACTTTCAACTAGTAGTAATTAGATTGAATCTAGTTACTAATTACACTTAACTAAAAAAAAAGTGCTTTAAAATTAGGTTAAAACCATTTCTACATTGTTTCAACTACTCAAAACTGACAAAAAAATTAAAAACAATTATTTTTTCTTTAAATAAATATTAATAAATATATAAAGCAATGAAATTCAAAAAAAAAAAAAAAAATATTTGTGTCCTATTAAAACTTACACTGATGATATTTCTCCTGAGACCATCGCGATCACGTTGAACTTGACCGATCGTTGATGGTTGACCTCGATAGACTCTTTGCTGACGATCACTCTCAATTTCAGATGCTGGCTCATATTCCTCATCGTGATATGTCCTTTGATGTTGTCGTTGACGAAATTGTCGTTCGGGAATTGTTGATGATTGTGGCGCCGTGACAGTTACGGAATTTTGTTGTTGTCGTTGCGTTGGCCTTTGCTGTTGTTGTTGTTGTATCGATTCAGCCTTGGCAGCTCTGTTGACATAATTGAAGAAAGAAATTTAGCAAAAAAAAAAGAAAAAGAAAACAATGAGTTACAACCCAGTTGTAACTAGTTACTGAAATTTTAAAACTAGTTGTAACTAGTTCTAACAAGTTGGAAACTACTTGTAACTAGTCCGAACAAGTTGGAAACTACTTGTAACTAGTCCGAACAAGTTGAAAACTACTTGTAACTTGTTTGAACCAGTTGGAAATTACTTGTAATTAGTTTGAACATGTTGGAAACTAGTTGCAACTAGTCTGGACAAGTGGAAATATAGTTGTAACTAGTCTGAACAACTTGGAAACCAGTTAAAAGTAATTTGAACAAGTTGAAAAAAAGTTTCGACTCGTTGGAACAACTTGAAAACTAGTTGTAACGGGTTTGGGACAGGTTGAAAACTAGTTGGAACCAATACGAACAAGTTGAAAACTACTTTATACAAGTTGAAACTAGTTTGAACGAGTTAGAAACTTGTTTAAACAAGATGTAACTAATTTCAACTTGTTGGAAACTAGTACGAACATATTCTAAACTGGTTTAAACAAGTTGAAAGTAGTTTGAACAAGTTTGAAACTAGTTTGGATAAGATTTTATAAGTCGTAACAAGTTGGAAAATAGTTTAAACATGTTATAACTAATTTAAACATATTGTAGCAATTTGGAAACTAGTTTGAACAAATTGAAAGTAGTTCGAACAAGTTGGAGATTGGTTTGGACAAGTTTTTATTAGTCGGAACAAGTTGGGAACTAGTTTAAACAAGTTGTAATTAGTTTGAACAAGTTGGAAACTAATTTGGACAAGTTTTTTTATTAGTAGAAACAAGTTGTGAACTAGTTTGGACTGGTTGAAGCAAGTCCAAATTTGTTCAAAACTGGTCACAACTAGTTTAAACCCATCATAACTAATTTTGAACGAGTTTATAGTGGTTTCAAACTAGTTTGGAGTGGTTTTTAAAAGTTATTTTGTAACTAGTTAGAAACTAGTTTGTACAAAATTTTTCATAAATGTAATTTTAATTGTTATTAATAAAAAAAAAAAAATTTTTTTTTTAAGACTAAAATTATAAATTTTATATTTTTATAATATTTCCATAAAGTATAGAATAATAAAATTTTTGCTCTAATTTAATCGTATTTGCGAGGTGAAAGTATTATTAAGTTTAATGCAGAGCAGCAAATATATATATATATGTATATATACATTTTGTACATCCGATTTTCTCCTTCTTCTACTATTTCCTCGCCTCATGTGGATCGTTTAAAGATCGACATACATAGAAAATCATATATACATATATGTATATATATATAGTATATTGATGATTCGATTGGTCAAGACGATTATACCAGGAACTTGATACCATTTTACGTAAACTTGATTGAGTACGAGGATACACACACTTGAGTGGAAGTCGAGTGATGTGATGTGATGTGAGTTTTGCGCTTCAATAATATAATCAGACGTGCAACGATCTCTCGTGCGCATATTACATTATTAAATCGATGTTGTATATTGCATTTCCGTGAATGTGAAATTTTTTTTTTTTTTTTTTTTTTTTGGGAAAATTATTATTGAACTCTCTTTGAGTGTATCGGCGTGAGAGAGATTCAACTTGATATTCAGTTTACTAACATTTTTTTTTTTGAAAATGAATTCATTTTTTCAATTAGAAACTGTTATGAACAAATTAGAACTGGTTTCAATAAACTAGAACTTGTTTGAACTAGTTAGAAACTTGTTTGAACAAATTAAAACTGCTTTGAACTAGTTAGAAACTTGTTTGAACAAATTAAAACTGGTTTGAACTAGTTAGAAACTTGTTTGAACAAATTAGAACTAGTTTGAACAAACTAGAACTGGTTTGAACTATTAAGAAACTTGTTTGAACAAATTATAACTGGTTTAAACTAGTTAAAAACTTGCTAAAAATTGGTTTTAATTCGCAAATAATGTAAAAGTAGTTACAACTAATTAGAAACTATTTTGAAACTACATGGGATCTAGTTTTAAACTGTGTTTATGTTGGAACACAGTTTTTGAAATAGTATTAGACAACTTTCAACATAGTTTCAAAATAGTTTTAAACTAGTTCCAACATAGTTTCAATATAGTTTTAAAGTAGTTCCAACATAGTTTGAAAATAGTTTTAAACTAGTACCAAAATAGTTTTAACATAGTTTGAAAATAGTTTTAAACTAGTACCAAAATAGTTTTAAACTAGTACCAAGATAGTTTGAAATTAGTTTTAAACTAGTTCCAACATAGTTTGAAATTAGTTTTAAACTAGTTCCAACATAGTTTCAAAATAGTTTTAAACTAGTTCCAACATAGTTTCAATATAGTTTTAAAGTAGTTCCAACATAGTTTGAAAATAGTTTTAAACTAGTACCAAAATAGTTTTAACATAGTTTGAAAATAGTTTTAAACTAGTACCAAAATAGTTTTAAACTAGTACCAAGATAGTTTGAAATTAGTTTTAAACTAGTTCCAACATAGTTTGAAATTAGTTTTAAACTAGTTCCAACATAGTTTCAAAATAGTTTTAAACTAGTTCCAACATAGTTTCAATATAGTTTTAAAGTAGTTCCAACATAGTTTGAAAATAGTTTTAAACTAGTACCAAAATAGTTTTAACATAGTTTGAAAATAGTTTTAAACTAGTACCAAAATAGTTTTAACATAAATTGAAAATAGTTTTAAACTAGTACCAAGATAGTTTGAAACTAGTTTTAAACTAGTTTCAACATAGTTTTAAAATAGTTCAAAGTAATTCCAATAGTTTTGAACTAGTTAAAAGTTAGTTAGTTTGAAACAGTGAGAAATTGTTTTTTACTTTAGATTTACCTACTATATGTGCCAATAAAATAAAAAACAATAACAATAACAAAAAATATTTGCTTATTCACATTTGCAATATAAAATCAGATAATAATCTAATGAATAAATATATACATATGTATTTATATATAATATATATATATATATATATATATATATATATATATATTTATACATATGTAGTTAAGTGGCTCTGCGTGTGTGGCCTCCACCGGTACCTTTCAACTTAATCGCATTCACCAATATACGGTAGAGAGAACATATTAGTAAGCTATTTGTAATTTGTGGAAAATCGTGAAACTTCTTTATATATATTAAAACCGCAGATTATCCGTAAAGAGATTCTCGGCGGTGCGGGCACATTACATAAATTGTGTGTTGCTAACTGTGAAAGTGATTTACACCTTGCTTAACCTTTATCTAGTAAATTATATACGTGTGTAAAATTTCATATATATATATATATATATAGTCAGGAAGTTATTATCAATTATAAATGCTATTATTGATGGTTGTGAATGATGTATCATTAGAAACAAAGTATGAATCGCAAATTATTTAAAAATAGAACGTATATATTATTTTGTGCGTTATGAAATAAATATGCACAGTGGAAAAAGTCTTTTTATGTCAGTCAAACTACAAGATGGTATGTACATACGTGTATACATATATAGATAATGAATTGTCTCGCCAAAAACGAATTTTACTACTTGGAATATTTTTCAGTGAAACAGATCAAAAATAGGTCGGACAGAAGATGAAACATATGCTGATATGTTTTTTTTTGTAGAAATATACAAAGTTAATAATTAGTACCTTTTATTTAAGGTTCCATGTGATTAGGTACTTTCAATTTTAAGTACCTGCAATTTTAGGTACTGTCAATTTTAAGTACCTTCAATTTTAGGTAACTTCAATTTTAAGTACCTTCAATTTTAGGTACCTTCAATTTTAGGTACCTTCAATTTGAAGTAACTTTAATTTTAAGTACCTTCAATTTTAAGTACCTTCAATTTTAGGTACCTTCAATTTTAGGTACCTTCAATTTGAGGTAACTTTAATTTTAAGTACCTTCAATTTTAGGTACCTTTAATTTTGGGTACCACATAATTAGGTACCTTCAATTTGAGGTAACTTCAATTTTAAGTACCTTCAATTTTAGGTACCTTTAATTTTGGATACCACATAATTAGGTACCTTCAATTTTAGGTACCTTTAATTTTGGGTACCACATAATTAGGTACCTTCAATTTTAGGTACCTTTAATTTTGGGTACCACATAATTAGATACCTTCAATTTTAGGTACCTTCAATTTGAGGTAACTTCAATTTAAAGTACCTTCAATTTTAGGTACCTTTAATTTTAGGTACGATTTGATTAAATAACTTCAATTTTAGGTACCTTCAATTTTAGGTAACTTCAATTTTAAGTACCTTCAATTTTAAGTACCATGTGATTAGGTACCTTTAATTTTATGTACCTTCAATTTTAGATACCTTTAATTTGAAGTACATTCAATTTTAGGTACCTTCAATTATGAGTACTATGTAATAAGTACCTTCAATTTGAGGTAACTTCAATTTTAAGTATCTTCAATTTTAAGAACCATGTGATTAGGTACCTTTAATTTTATGTACCTTCAATTTTAGGCACCACATAATTAGATACCTTATATTTTAAGTACAATATATATTAGGTACCTGTATATTTGTTACCTAAATATATGGTAGATATTTTCGTGGTATCTAAATATATACGGTAGCTAAAATTGAAGGTACTTAATCACATCGTACCTAAAATTAAAGGTACTTAAAATTGAAGTTACCTAAAATTAAAGGTACCTAAAATTGAAGTTACTTAAAATTGAAGGTATTTAATCACATCGTACCTAAAATTAAAGGTACCTAAAATTGAAGGTACTTAATCACATCGTACCTAAAATTAAAGGTACCTAAAATTGAAGTTACCTAAAATTAAAGGTACCTAAAATTGAAGGTACTTAAAATTGAAGTTACCTAAAATTAAAGGTACCTAAAATTGAAGTAACTTAATCACATCGTACTTAAAATTAAAGGTACCTAAAATTGAAGTTACTTAAAATTGAAGGTATTTAATCACATCGTACTTAAAATTAAAGGTACCTAAAATTGAAGGTACTTAAAATTGAAGTTACCTAAAATAAATACGGTATCTAATTATGTTACCTAAAATATAAGGTACTACTAGTATTAGGTTACGAATTAAGTTACGTATTAGGTAACAACATACCATATTAGGTATAAATTTTTGGAAAACTTCAAAACTTATCCAATTATAATTTTTCACCTACAATAAAAACAAAAAAAAAACAAAAAAATTAAATAAAAAGTGACTCACCGTTCGAGAAGGGGATCTTCAATATCATCTTTTGGCAAATTAGGTTCTGGACAGCCTACGTTGCGTGGCCAATCGCAAGTCTGCAACTCGTGGCTGTAATGTGAAACAATGGACATTAATCAGGTGAACCTTGAATATAGTCATTTAAAAGTTAGTGCTTTTATGTTTGTAAAAAAAATTCTTTTTTTTTTTTTTTTTTGTTCGTCTCTATTCAACAAGTTATGGGACAGTAAAACTACCTGGGATGAGGTTATGTTTGTGTCTTGGGTAAATCTTTAATTCACAAGTTTGGAAATAAATCAAATCGCAAGGGAGCATGTTGTGTTATATTGGGGTGTACCGCATTTGGAGTTATTGGCAGTTATCCTTAATTGGATCGCATTTCTATATATATATATATATTGTAACCTTCGTGAAACTATAGTACGCGGGTGGGTTTTACTACCATAGTTGTTTTCGTTTCAAGCAACTAAAATCAATTTTTCAAATTCGTCCGTCATTTTGGATCCACCATTTTGAATTTTGCAAAACTAACCTCAAATTCGTAATCAGCGACCCCAAAAACCCCCGTGTACCAAGTTTCAAGCGAATATAAACAATTTTTCAAATTCGTCCGCTATTTTGGATCCGCCATTTTGAATTTTGCAAAACTAACCTCAAATTCGTAATCAGCGACCCCAAAAACCCCCGAGTAACAAGTTTCAAGCGAATATAAACAATTTTTCAAATTCGTTCGCCATTTTGGATCCGCCATTTTGAATTTTGCAAAACTAACCTCAAATTCGTAATCAACGACCCCAAAAACCCCCGTGTACCAAGTTTCAAGCGAATATAAACAATTTTTCAAATTCGTCCGCTATTTTGGATCCGCCATTTTGAATTTTGCAAAACTAACCTCAAATTCGTAATGAGCGACCTCAAAAACCCCCGAGTAACAAGTTTCAAGCGAATATAAACAATTTTTCAAATTCGTCCGCCATTTTGGATCCGCCATTTTGAATTTTGCAAAACTAATGGCAAATTAGCATTAAACTGTCAATTATATAAAAAAAAAAACTTTTAAATTTTAACATATAGTAAAAGATAAAAAAAATTATCGATAAATTCAATATTATTACTATATATCAGATAAATATATAATTAATTTGTAAAGATTAATGAAATTCTGGAACGAGGTTGTCTCTCCTTGTCGTCACTGGGTCAACATCAACACAACGATTATGTAAATCGTTGAAACGGATGATTCACATTCTCTTCTCTTTTTCTCCACATCTATCTCTTTTGAAACATAATGATTCTCGACTCTGTCAGGGTCTCGTGCTCAATATCCCTTATTTTAAAATGTTATTTCAATTCATTGTGTATATATACATATATTTATAAGTAAATACTCCTATATATATATATATTCGCAGATATTTTAAAAATAACGTCATTTAATTTTAATTTTGTAATTTCTAATTTAAAAATTTGATGGTACCTAATTGAAAATAAAGATATCAGGGGTAATTTAAATTCGTGGGTATACTGAATTAAAAATTCAGGTATCTAATGTAATTAAAAATTTGAAAGTTTATTTTTTTTTTTTTAACTCACCTGTACATTAAGCCACCAGTGCATGATTCGAGCAATGCTCCACCAAAAACGCAAACATAATATTGCGTACAATCTCTTGGATGTGGATAGTAGCCAAATTCCTCTGGACATTCAAATTCAAGTCCACCTTCATTTCGACTGGCGCGCGGACTTCTCGGTGTGTTCCTTTGAGATTCTGCAATAAAACAAAAAGGAAAAATTTTAGTAATTAAATATATATATAAAGTTAAACTTTTACATTATATCATATTGTATCATATTATATCATATAGAATCATATATATCATATATTATGATATTGTATCATAGTATTATATTGTATCATAAAGTATCATACTGTATCATATTATGTCATACTGCATCATATAGAACCATAATGTATCATACTGTATCGTATAATATAGTATCATATCATATCATATTTTATCATACTAAATCATACCGTATCATGTAGTATTATTATATCATATAGTATCATATAGTATCATAGTATCATATAGTATCATATTTAATAATATTGTATCATAGTATCATATTGTATCATAAATTATCATACTGTATCATATTATGTCATACTGCATCATATAGAACCATAATGTATCATACTGTATCGTATAATATAGTATCATCATATCATATTTTATCATACTAAATCATACCGTATCATGTAGTATTATTATATCATATAGTATCATATAGTATCATATTGTATCATATAGTATCATAGTATCATATAGTATCATATTTAATAATATTGTATCATAGTATCATATTGTATCATAAAGTATCATACTGTATCATACTGTATCATACTGTATCGTATAATATAGTATCATATTATATCATATTGTATCATAAAGTATCATATTTTATAATATTGTATCATAGTATTATATTATAAAGTATCATACTGTATCATATTATGTCATACTGCAGTACATAGAACCATAATGTATCATACTGTATCGTATAATATAGTATCATATTATATCATATTGTATCATACTAAATCATACCGTATCATATAGTATTATTATATCATATAGTATCATATAGTATCATATAGTATCATATTATATCATATAGTATCATATTATATCATACTGTATCATATAATATCATATAGTATCATATTATAAAATTATATCATAATAAAAAATAGAATGCAAGTTGCAAAAGGTATGCAATGTGACGAATAAAAAAAAATTTCAAGAAAAAGATAAAATAGAAATATTAATGCAAAAAAAAATTAATGCTAATGCACTATTGAGATAAAATGAACACAGAGATTTTCATGGATTACTAACTTGTTGCACAATATAGTATAGTAAATTGCATTTATTTATATATATAAAAATAAATCGACAAAAATGTCCGTATTTACGCACCACTAAAGATGAATGTTAATTAAAATTAGGTACAAGTGCCTTAATCTTGTTACACACAAATCCTAATTAATATATATTAATTATTCTATGAAAAGCTGTATATATATATATATATATATATATATATATATATAGTTGAAACTGCATTTTTTTTTGTTTCTTTATATATATATATATATATATATACAGTTTGTACAATTTTTTCAGTAGCATACAACATGATATCTATTTGTATAAGTGAATTTTAATGTAATAATTAAAAACTAATTTAAAACTATTTTGAAACTAGTTTTAAAATGTATTTGAAAATTATGTTAAAACTATGTTAGAGCTAGTTAAAAACTGCTTTAAATCTATTTTGTAACTATTTTAAAAACTATGCTAAAACTATGTTAGAACTAGTTATAAAAATAATTTTGCAAACTATGTAGAAGATTGAAACTATTTTTAAAAAATATTTGAAAATTTGTATTCATTTTAAAAACAAAAGGAATTTAAAAAAAAGAAAGCATTTGAATGAAGAGGAGCCAATTTGTTTTATAATGAGTAGTACCTATAAGAAGTATGTACACATATGGGATGTAAAATGAACACTAAATTCGCACGCTTTACTTCTCAAGCTACTGATATATATATATATATATATATATATATACTCACGCAAAATTTATATATATATATATATATATACTATAGTTGTTATGTAATTATCATTAACTTACGAAGCAGTTAATAACAGACATAACGGATTTAGCCAACGTTGATGTTAGGGAGCGTGATGCGATACATATTATATGCATATGTGTATACAAATGCGCGCACCGTTATTGCGTCAGCTGATTAGACTAATTGTAAGAATAGGAAGAAGATAATGAAACTGCATTGCTATGGGAATTTCGATATTTTCCTTCTGGTACATAATTTTTACTACTGTACTGTATTGAGAGAGAAATGCTTGAATATAACACATACACACACAGGGAAATTGAAAAAATTTTCATTCTCAAACTTTTAATGTCAAAACTATATTGGAACTAGCTTTAAACTAATTTAAAACTATATTGGAACTAGCTTTAAACTAGTTTAAAACTCTATTGGAACTAGCTTTAAACTAGTTTAAAACTATGTTGGAACTAGCTTTAAACTAGTTTAAAACTACGTTGGAACTAGCTTTAAACTAGTTTAAAACTATGTTGGAACTAGCTTTAAACTAGTTTAAAACTACGTTGGAACTAGCTTTAAACTAGTTTAAAACTATGTTGGAACTAGCTTTAAACTAGTTTAAAACTATGTTGGAACTAGCTTTAAACTAGTTTAAAACTATGTTGGAACTAGCTTTAAACTAGTTTAAAACTATATTGGAACTAGCTTTAAACTAGTTTAAAACTATGTTGGAACTAGCTTTAAACTAGTTTAAAACTCTATTGGAACTAGCTTTAAACTAGTTTAAAACTATGTTGGAACTAGCTTTAAACTAGTTTAAAACTATGTTGGAACTAGATTTAAACTAGTTTAAAACTATGTTGGAACTAGCTTTAAACTAGTTTAAAACTATGTTGAAACTAGTTTAAAAACATTTTGAAATCATATTAAAACTAGATAAAAACTATTTTAAAACTATATTTGGAACTAGTTAAAAAAACTATTTTTAAACCATATTGAAACTATTTTAAAACTATTTTGAAACTACATTGGAACGAGTTTCATATTGTGTTCATGTTGAAACATAATTTAAAAATAGTTTTAAAGTATTTCCAAACATAATTTTAAAATAGTTTAAAGTATATACCAACATAGTTTGAAAATAGTTTTAAACTAGTTCCAACATAGTTTTAAAATAGTTTAAAGTGAATTTTCATATTTAATAAATTGTTTTAACAGACAAATTAGTACAATTTTTCATATAATTAATATTTTTCAATTTTCTTTTTTATAAAATAATTAATTAATATCATATATATATATATATATATATATATTTAGATTGATTTTAAAGAATCACCTAATGATATCGTGTGAATTACAATGGATTCAAAATCCAATATAATATCATCGTTACATTCTCGCGCATCGAGAGAAAAAGTGAAAGGTGCAAGTGTGCCCTTTGAATATATATATATATATATATATATATATATATATATATATATATATATATATATATAGAAAGAGAATCCATCAGGGAAGATTTCTCACTGAATCAGCGGCGTTTATTTGTGCGGCAGCGGTACCAACGAAGCAATTGGGTGAGGCTCGTTAACCCGCTGACCTTGAAACCAGGACACGAATGATTTCAAGGTCGGAACACCGTTTTCTCTCTCTCTCTCTCTTTCTCACTCTCTATATCTCCGATCCAATTTCGGAGGAATACTGTCCACATTTATATATATATATATATCTATATATATATGTAAAACACAGACTCTCTTTGGGTCCATTGAACTTTCAAGCGGCCATGATCTTCCAAGGACGTGAACTTCCGTTTTCCCACATCGTGTGTCCGTTGTTTTTCATTTTATTTTTATTTTTATTTTAACACCACCAACAAGAAAACACCTTCGCCTCTGATCTCTTTCACTTTACTTTATGTATCCGTTTATACATAGTGATAGTGTCCCTTTGAAAAGTAATTTATATTCTAACACTTTTTTTGTGTTTTTTTTTACTTTAATTCATTTGCAAGAGATCCGTGTTAAAGAAAATAATTCTTTGTCCACTATTTTCCAATTTTGTAAAATCATTTCAAAAATTGCTATTTATAATGATGCATGAAACAGTATGAGAAAATATCATACTATATGATACAATATTATATATGATAACATATGATACAATATGATACTGTATGATACAATATAATATATGATAACATATGATACAATATGATACTATATGATACAATATAATATATGATAACATATGATACAATATGATACTGTATGATACAATATAATATATGATACAGTATGATAAAATATGATATTGTATGATAAAATATGATACTGTATGACAGTGTATGATACCTTATTGTACTCTATGATACAATATGATACAGTATGATACTGTATGATAGTATATGATACAGTATGATACCGTATGATAGTATATGATACAGTATGATATTGTATGATACTGTATGATAGTATATGATACAATATTATATATGATAACATATGATACTGTATGATAGTATATGATACAATATTATATATGATAACATATGATACAATATGATACTGTATGATACAATATAATATATGATACAGTATGATAAAATATGATATTGTATGATAAAATATGATACTGTATGACAGTGTATGATACTTTATTGTACTCTATGATACAATATGATACAGTATGATAGTATATGATACAATATGATACAGTATGATAGTATATGATACAATATGATACAGTATGATAGTATATGATACAGTATGATACTGTATGATAGTATATGATACAATATTATATATGATAAAATATGATACAATATGATACTGTATGACAGTGAATGATACCTTATGGTACTGTATGATACAATATGAAATATGATACAGTATCGTATTGTATCATACAGTATCATACAGTATGATACTGTATGATACTGTATGATACAATATGGTACTGTATGATACTGTATGATACAATATGGTACTGTATGATAAATATGATATTGTATGATATAGTATGAAAAATGGGATAAATTATTATATTTAATGATACAATATGGTAAAATGTAATTCAGTTTGATAAAGTATAATAAATTATGATGAAATATATCAGT